TTAACTATCTAAATCTGTTGATATATATGTTTACTGTATTTGAGCCTTGTTTGATATCAAAAAGCTGTTTTTGCCAAATTGCTTTTTGTTTTGAAGTGTGAAAGCAAGTTCTAAAAAGATGTTTAAAGCTTCTGTTTTGGTTGGCATTATTATCAAAAGTATTTGAAACAGAATAAAAATTTTGTTACTAATCTAATACAATTCCTTTTAAATATACAGAAGTAAGTTCTAATTTTCAAGTAACATTTTATTTGTTAACAATAGCAGCTCTTTAAAAATCTTTAAGACATTGTTTTGGATCTTGGGTATCATTATTATAAAAGAAGTTAGCTTTTAAGAGAGCTCTTTCACTTCTATTCAAAGTAGTAATAAGGTTGGTCATAGCTTGTACAGCATCTTGTAAAGCTTGTTCTGCTATGTTAACAGATAGATTAGAAAGGTTATCAAGAATAGATGGAAATGAAAAAAGAAGTTAAGGTTGAGAAAGAATAGATTAAGGTTAAACAATAATAGATTAAGGCTGAATAACAATAGATTAAAATAGAAAAAAAGCAAGTTAAGGTAAAGATGAAGAAGAAGAACTTTTTTCAAGAGGCTGTTGTTAAGATGAGTTAGTAAAAGTGTAATGTAAACTAGAAGTTTCTGTAAAGTTAACAAAAGCATTGATATATTCTTTTGTTTCTAAATTATTAGTAATTAATAAAGAAATCTATAAAAATCAAAGAGGAGTATAATGACTTTCAGAAAGTTCAATAGATGTAACTAATTCATTATAAGAAACTAAACTATCTTCTGGATTATATAAGAAGGGAATATTATTTAAAAGAGTAATATTATCATCAGTAGCAGATGATAAAATAGAATTTTTTAAATTTCCAAGATGTCAACTAAATTCTTCTGGTTCTTTAAATCTAAAACTTAGAGAAGCATTGAGATAAAGATTAAAAGCATTTTAGTATTCAAAGATAAGATAAGAAGTTGAAAAAAATTAATATATTTTCTAACTAGAACTATGGCTATTGTTCTAAAATTACTAACATCTTGTTGGTATTGACAACTAAAAATAATATTTCTAATATAAAGGTGAAATTTAATTCAGTCTAAATATAGAATAGTAAGAATGATAAAGTTGTTCTGAGTTGAAAAAAATAATGTTAAGTTGCAAAGTTGGTTCTGTACCAAATTCAAAATTATCCAAAATGTGAACAAAGGCTAATACATTGAGAGAAGTAACATTAAAGACAAGATAAATCTGAATGTTATGCTTAAAATATGTCTACTATAAGATGAGATTCAGTTAGGTTAAGATAACTAATATTTATTTGAGTCTTTTGTTGAAATAACTAATACTTATTTGGGTCTTTTATTAGGATAACTAATACTCATCTAGATATTTTACTAGAATAACTTTTTCAATATATCTGGAAATGTTTTATCTAAGATAACTTGTTTCTTTTTAAAAATTTAACCTTTTTGCTAAAAGACAGCAAATGTTTTAGATGAAAGTCTTCTTAATTTTTATATTATAACATAGCACAGAGAATTTTTTATGAATATATGTAGTGTTTAAGAAAGAAATATAGTTTTTGTTAAACATTGTTAAGAAACTATACTCTTCTCTGAGACAGTTTGATAAAGATAATGCAATACTAATAACTTTATTTTATCAAGAGAAGATAAATCTTATTTATAGAAATTATTCTAAAAGAGGAATATCAATACAGTTTATAATTAAAAACTATTTATTAAAATAATAACAAAAAAAGCTATTCTTAGTTTTCTATTTCTAAAAAATCTCAAGATGTGTTTATAATATTAAAGAAAAGAGAGATGTCTGTTACTTAATCAGACTTTAAAAATTTAATAGGATTTATATATCAGTAAACTAAGTAGCTAAATAACTAAGTAACTAAGCATTAAGCAACTAAGTAACCAAGTGACTAAGTAATTAAGTAATTACTAAGTAACTAGTAATTAATAACTAATAATTACTAAATGACTAATTACTAAGTAACTAAGCAACTAAGCGACTAGGTAACTACATAAAGAAAGATAATAATATGATGCAATAACAATTAATAACTATGTTAATCATCACTTTAATATGGTTTTTTAGAATTAATAGTTTTAAAAGTCATTTAAAACTATTAGAAAGTATAAGAGTAATAAGAATAATAAAAAAAATAAAAGAAAACTATAATTAATGAATTATATAATAATTAAGAACTTTAAATAATATAAAACATTAAAGAAATATATTATAAATAATATGTTTAATATATTTAATATTTTTAGAAGTATATATATAATAGAACAATATATAATAAAGATTTTGAACTCTATAAAATCAGTCAGTTTGTATTTGTAATAAAATCTGATCCTAATAATTCTTTGCTTTTGTTACATTATAATATCTATAATTATAAATAACCAACTCACCAAATCAAACATGTCTTTTATCAACTTAGCTAACTTATAAATTATACAAAATATCCTATTATAATGTAACTGACTCACTAATCCTATTATAAAGTGACTAACTTGCTAACCCTATCATAAAGCAACTAATTTATCATTTTAATCATATTAATATAAACTATAAACTTCATAATTTCATTACTCTGTTCTAATAATGCTTTTAATAAAACTTTAATATAATTGAATCATATTTGTCTAATATTAAATAAAGGTTTAAGTTTTTGTATTAACATTTTTTTTTTTTTTTTATACCTTTTTTCACTATTCTGAAGGTCCTTAGACACCTTTACGATCTGTCACATCTCTTAAAAGCCAGAGTTATCATTCTGTGAAGATCATCAGATGGCATATAGCCCCTGCATGTTACCAAGCTCATGAGATAACTCATGCTTCATCAAGTTTGTATTGACATTAAATACCTCATAACTATATCAATAAAAAATACTTTATTTAATTGAGTGACAAAAACAATTTTTGAGAACAGTTTAAAGTTTAAAGAACTTTATTCAAAATTATTTTAATAATTTAATAAATGAAAATGAATAATAAAATACCAGTCTTCTTTTTACTATGTAATATACTATTTCTAAAATTACTTTATAACAACACCAAACAAGAGGCTGTCATATATCATTACAGTATTATACTATTTTAACACAATAGCATTACGGTATCTAAATACAACAGCATTATTGTATTTTGACATAGCGACATTACAGTTATGGCATTACGGTTGCGGCATTACGGCTCAAGAAAATTACAGAGAATAATACGGCACATGCTGTAACTAGGGTTGTCAAATTACCATAATTTTACGTAATTTTGTGAAATTTTGCGTAAGTTTTCAGTAACATGGTTTTCATGTAATTTGTAAAAAACGTGAACATATGCTCATATGATTGGTTGGATCATATGTACATCGATTTGGTCCGTGAACTTTATGCAGAATCTACTGTAGTTCAATAATGCTAGCTGAGTTTTTCATAGTGCCGGTACTATATATCACGTGTGAAATTTATATGAAATCCATGTTACTGTAACTTACATGAAATTACATGTATTGTAAATTTGTAAAATGTAATTTCCAACCCTAGCTGTAACCGTATTAATTTGTCAAATGAATACATACAGAACCACTTTTAGTACTCTAACAAAAAATTTTTCTTGAGCCATTTACTATAAATTATTCAGTTTTTAAGTTTATTCTAAACACTAACCCTACCGTTAATGACCTTTAAAAAAGTTTGTTACGCGACAAACAAAATTGTCTTGGATTTGATTGACTAAGAGAGATCAAAAAATTTGGCTGGAATTACTCAAAATTTCACTAATGAAATCACAGCCGCCCATTAAGTGAAAATTGTTCCTGGGCTAATTTTACTATCGTGTTAGTATGGTTGGAAATTAAAATTTACAAATTTACAATATATGTAATTTCACGTAACATGGATTTCATGTAAATTTTACACGTGATATATAGTATCCGGTACTATGAAAAACTCAGCTACGTAGCATTATTGAACTATCACTGACCAGATCGATGTACATATGATGCAACCAATCATATGAGTGTATGATCATGTTTCTTGTTACTGAAAACTTACGCAAAATTTCACAAAATTACGTAAAATTACGGTAATTTAACAACCGTACGTGTGAGTCTATTTCTTTGAAAATTTCTATTATGAGAATAAAAAAGTTAAAAAGTTAATTCCGGCCAGAAATTAGTAAACCATGATGTAATGCGGGCCAAAATTTTGCAGATCCACGCCCTTTAGCCTATCAAAATCGATGATCTAAAGGGAAATTTTTGAAAAAATGCTCGTAGCTCAAATATTTGCCTAGGAAAGTACCTTCTGCGTACTAACAAAAAAAAATTCCTCGTGAAATTTTACTATAACTATGACCCTTTAAACCAAACATTAAACTGCTGGTGGTACCTTAACCCTAAACTAATTGCGAAACAACTTTTTTAATAAGATCACATAGTCGGCGAAATTTTTTGGGGTGGTGATGCTAGACTTATAAAACCTGGCACACATTCAAGAATTGATTTGATACTTTGGCATTACGGCATTACAGCACATAATATTTACGGCAATCAGGTACTGTGCCGTAATTAATTCTACCATCTGTAATGCCATAATTCAATAATTCTACTGCCAACTATAGTCAGAATGCCACAGCAAAGCTAATGCTCATACTGTTTGTTATCTCAATTACAATTCCACGCTATTCACATTTAATATAATAGGATACAATTTTATTTACTATCAGAATATTCTGTATCATATGTAAAACATAGGTTAAACATAACAATTAAGTAGAATTGCATAAAATAGTATAATATATATCCATACTCTAAAGTAGTGCTCCGATCGGGTTGACCCGAATGACCCGAAACCAACCCAGTTATAATGAATTTATATATAGGTCATGACCCATCTAATAAATTTATTATAACCGGGTTGGTTTCGGGTCATTCGGGTCGGGTAAACCCGATCGGAGCACTACTCTAAAGTTTATGTATATAATGTCGGGTGAAATATTGAGGTATTCCTACAATTCCAACATAACTTATTTAGTTCAATGCTTCTCTCCATAACTTTATCTCTTTTGGTTTTAAGCTCACTAATACCATGACATCCGGCTTCTTCCCAATTCTGGGATTCCTCCGAGCCTTACTTGACGAAAAAAATACAATAGTATAAAATGCACTTTTTTCATGGGCTTTATTTGACAAATACTCACGCGTTCAAGCAGAGATTACTATTTGGGAAGCCCTTCGAAGTTGACCGAAGTAAAGGCATCACAACATCCGCAACGTAGGTTCCCTTGCTCAATTCACTGCGAGACATACTTGTTGCGAATGCTGGATTTTCTAGATTTAAGGTTAGAGTTTATAATAAAATATATGTAGGCTTTAGTAGTGTTTACATTTTTAAATATAGACACATTATTAGCAGTTAGTACAAAAATAAATTTGCTCCGTTCTGACGATAATATTAAGATGCCACAATTATAAAACTGTGAAAGCTCTACAAGGAAAGGTGGTTTAGCCCTCCCTAACGTTAACTCTAACTCGTCCATAAGTCACATGAATTTTGTGTCCGCTGTTTTTGGTTTTGCCTAAAAATATATCGCGAACCATGCGATTTCCAATCTCACCAACCTTCGCTGTAGCACAATAATCAATACGGAGAAACTCGTGTATTTACGTTATACAAATATTATTAACCACTAATATATAAGTTATTATCAAATTACACCAAGAGGCTCTTGTTGGTTGGAAGAGAACAACTGTTTACTGGTTCTTGGGATTGTACCCGGTGGGAATTGCTATTATTGGATAACCGGATAATTCAATAATACCTGGGTAAGATTTTCTCAACGGTTACATGGTTCGCAACGTTGTTTTTGTATGTTTTAGATTTTTAATTCAATGATATAAACTCTCAAGATATACTGTACCTGGTGCATATTATAGGTTTTAAAAATTGGTGAAATGTAAGAAACCCAGTCTTGTATATGGCAAAGCTTAAATTACGTCTAGTTTATGCAAATTTTTTTTAGTAATGGTAGGATTGATACTAAAAAGAACCATTGCACGTAAATTTTCAAGTTTTATGTCAAATTTAGAAATACACCCTCGGAACACACCTGCACGACGAATATATTCTTTGTTCTTACAAATAAATATGGAATATACACTAAAATATAGAATCACATCATATTACGTATATTACGCAGAACATTTACCAAGATTCGTAAGACTGTTCTTGTATTTCCTCATAATTGGAAAACATCAGTAAAAAGATTTACCATATAAAATTCAACCTTTAGTTTTTTTTTTTTCTTTTTTACCAAATCCATTAGTGCTTGGATAAAAGTATAATAATCTTTATTGGTAAAGTTTATTTTTTTTTACGTTCTTTTTTAGTATCAATAATTTTGGAAATGATTTTCGTCTAATTTATATATATTTTTTAGTAAATTACCGGGGAGCACGTCCGTAAACTTGTATCAGGGACAGTGAAAAATATTTTTAAGCCGAATCGATATTTTTGCAATTTTTTAGTGCGGTGTAACAATACCACTTCGGGCAAAATTAAGTGTATAATTTGGGCCGGGCAACACAAATTTGGCCAACCTGATTGTCGGTAAGTTTCGGAAGTTTCGGAAACGTAGACAATCGGGAAAGTTACATTACTGATCACGTTATATTGCGTACACCAAACCGTGCATTCTGATTGGCTAATCTTGGTAAATCGATATAAATTGATATTTTAGCTAGGAAATTGAATTTAAAAGTCACATGTGCATAAACACGGTATCAGAAATGAATGGTTTGACTTTCTTGTTATAAAACTTTGCGAGAAACTTTCTGGGATACGTACATGGACGTTTGCGCACATGGTTTTTGCACATATAAATATTTTACACTACTACATAAACGATTGGCCAATTCAGGACTCGAAAATGGTTATCTTGTTACCATTCGTGCTTTTGTTTACGCCAATAATAGTATATAAATAAATGGATTTGTATATAATTTCATTGATTCAGTTTTGATGTGAAAAAGAACTTTTATTCTTTATCCTTCAGCTGGCATGTCTGTCCAACTGAATTATACATAAATTTTAATACTCGAAATGAATCTTGAAGAAATTACTCTGGATTTACCTAAAGTCCGAGAGTCAAAATTAGATGTACTAATACATGTTGGTAAACCACCAAATTCAACAACAATAAAAGAAAATTCTCAACTTTTAAAGGATCAATGTGAATATTTTCGTACTCTTTTGAGTGATGAATCGGTTAAAAAAAATGATGGATGGATGGAAATTAATTTACCGTCTATTTCTCCTGAAGTTTTTTATTTCATACTAGAGTAATTATTCTTAATTTTTACGTATTTATTTCAAAGAATTTTACAAATTCTCGACCTTTATTAACCTTTTTATTTATAATTTTATAAATATAATAGTTACATAAAAGACGGATGGAAGACTTTTGGATGTCAGCAAGATGACGGAAAAAACACACTGGATCGATTAATAGCCCTTGACAAATTAGGAATACAAGAATTGCTTACTCCCGGTCAAGATTATTTAATTAAAAATCAATCTGGCTGGATTCGTGATAATTTTGCACTTGTTTACAAAACTAGCAAAATACAATCCTTGGATTCTTTACGAAAATATGTACTTGGAATATTACGTCAACAGCCTCGATTATTACTTAATCCAAGAGATATTAAATATTTGGAGAAGGATGTTTTAATATGGTTGTTAAAAAAAGAAGACGTTCAAATGACTGAATTAGAACTTTGGCAAAATGTAATTTCTTGGGGAATTACACAGAATCCTTCGTTGGGTCCTAAAATATCTTCATGGACATCTGAAGAGATGAATTTGTTCGGCGAAACCATAAATCCTTGTATTCCTCTAATAAGATTTGAGCATATTTCAAATGATGATTTTTGTATAACAGTATTGCCTTTTCAAAGGTTCCTTCCACCAGAACAACAACGTTCACCACGTTACAATTCTTCCGAAGATACATTAAATAACAACGGTTTATTTCCTCGCTTGACGCGACCGAAACGAACAGCATTTATAGATTCAAATATCATTAATATTTCTCATGCGGCTTTGATAGCAAATTGGATAAAACATAAACCATCTGTTAATACACAGGTTAGAACCAACCTGAAATTTCAAAAACCATCATCAATCCCTTATAGTTTTCAACTTTTATATCGGGCAAGTAGAGATGGATTTTCTGCTAAGTCATTTCACAAATTCGTTGATAATTGCCTAAACCCGACATTCATTATTATAAAATTAAAACTTTCATCACAAATAATTGGTGGATTCACCTCAAAATCATGGCAATCACCTCCATTAAATTTCTCTAAGATTGTAAACGATCATGAATCATTTATATTTTCATTATGCGATCCAAGTGGAGATGAAAGGTTTGCTGACTTTAGCAGGCCTAAGTCAGGCTATTTTCCTTTTATGTTTAGTTCCAAATATGTATACTATGGAAAAAATGCTATTAAATTAAGTAAATCTAGACCTTCTTTTGGAAGAACCGACTTACAAATAAGAGATGGAGCTTGTTTTTGTAAAGTTTGTGATTATGATAAGGCTATTACTTGGGGTAGTGGAAGGTTTGAAATGGAAGAGTGTGAAGTATTTAGCGTTAGGAGAAAAGACAAGGTCCATTAATTTAAAAATTCTGTATTTATGAAATTTTTATTAGATTGATATCTATATGCTGTCAATGGTATACTTTAAATAAACGCAAAAAATATTTTATTTGTACTTAATCATTAATATATATTCAATCTTTGTTTTTATAAGTAAAACCGCGGAATAACGATTATGGACGTTATTTCGAAAATCGGATCTTTTAAAAATAACATACTTAATTTCAAAATAACGCGTCGAAATAACGCGCATTCATATATCAACGGATTTATAAAAATAGGATCTTGGAATCATGCGCAGGTGTGCGTGATTCGCGGTTTTACGGTATTTATTATCCGGAATGAACTTTATTAACTCTAATAATTAATACTTTTCGAATTCCTTGTATTTCGCATTTGAGATGAGATAATTGATAGTTCTGTAGTTATGATGTATTCCGAACCGATCGGCATATTGCTATCGAAAATATTTGCACTTAAATACGTACGTATGTATTTCGGGTCTAGATTCTGTACATGGATAAAGTGTGATGATGTCTTGTTCATAACCATGCTAAGGATTGAAACCGCAAAAATTTTTCTTAGTCGTTTAACCATTTAATTTGGCTGGCATTAAAATAGTTCCGATCCATGACTAACATAATTCTGTCCGGAACTATGGAACAATTTTAAACGGTTAAACGATTCCAATCCCAATCGCTATGTTAAGTAAATGAACAACCAAATAAAGAAGGTTACCATCTGACCTCCTTGCATACTGGTTTTTCTGACTGGAAATCATTACTTATCGCTATGTGCGTGAGAGTGAAAACCTGGAAATAGATTTAATGATTTACTATGATTTATTATAGGTTTTCACTCTCATGCACACATTTGTGGTTCATCTATGCGTCTTTTGAAAGTAGCATTAAAAAGTGATAATACAGTAAAGGTCTATGAAACGAACGACTTCTTTTTTTTCTTTTTTTAAAAAAAGAAATTGTCTTATTGAGAAGAACGTAATACAGTATCTCTGAGTTGATGAGTTTATTCATCGCTAGGTTATATTACAAAGATTGGTTAGATACATAACTAAACGTTAATAAATTTATTAACGATCTGCGTCCATGCGTTAGTCTTAATACGTACCTATTGCCGGGATCATCACGAAATGTTGGGAACTAATTATAATGTATATCCCCTTGTCGTTGCAGTTAGAGTTCTGAAAGTGCCGGATACAATTAAACCGTAGTGCCCATTCTTGTGCAAGCACTTGCAGAACAATAGTTGAAATCATTTTTCGTACATATTTAACGCTTTAGAGAAGATTCTTTTTAATGTATTACGTATAAAAGTTTGGCCAATATTATTGCATCGTTTATATGTATGTCGATATTATCGTGCATTAAATATCACATGGCAAAAATACATAAAGCTTTACTTAAAACTGTTAATGATAAACTTGTATTTACATAACAAAATTGCAATGATAAAAATGATAAGATATGATAAATAATACAAATGATAAAAACGATAGAAGAATAAGCTATATTTACTCATGTATAACATCAATAGAATCACTTTTACCAACAATAGTTTTATGAAAAACTCTTGCTCTTTTACTCTCATCCCACATATCCTCATTGGCAATTTTATCAACCTCATTCAAAACCATGTTTAATTCTTTTTCTAGTTCCTCTACTTTCTTTTTCAAATTTTCGGCTTGTTCATCGTAATATTCGCCCATGCCAACTGCCAAAGCACTAAGTATCTTAATCAATCTCCATAACCTAAAAACGATCAATAGCCCTGCAGCTTCTCTCTGTTTTCCCTTCAATAATAACTCTAAGAGAAATGTTGCAATAATAATAAAAGCATCAAATAAATGAAGGAGCCAATTGGATCCTTTAAAGTAATAACTTAATCCAAACACAAAAAGATGCAAGGCAATTTCAATCATAAAGGCACAATTGATAATGAAGGCAATTAGTGACAAGACTTCTATTACGTAGTGTTCTTCTTTTTCCATGTCTGGCCAAAGAAATGTGATCACAATCGTCGTTATAACACAGAAAAAATCCGCAGAGACCAGGAAAAGAATGGACCAATGCGTTTGACGGCATTCAAGTAAAACTTTAATTCGATCATGGAAATTGTGCTGTTTTCCAGGACGATCTTCTTCCTCTGATGATAGAAGGTGTTCGGTTTCTAGGTTGCTTGGATTCATTTTCGTAAAAAATCGGATTTGGAAATTTTAGAGAACTGAGTCGTTAACTGGGTGTATGTGATTGGAGAATGTCAATTTAAAGATGTCGATTGTGAAATGTGATACAAGAAATCTGCACAATAATTATCTGACAAATTTTACGATTTTTGATAGCAATAGCGATAGGAAATGTTATCTTTAATATTAGAAATATTCGAAAACTCTCAATTCAATCTTAATACGATTATAATATTATTACTAACTATTATCTTTGCTTTTGCTTTCGCAAAGTTTTTATCTGACGATGAACCTATAGAATTCCCTGTTCCGGTGCCTATTGGTGGGTAGCAATTTAATGCGTGAAAATCGCCTATTGATAAATTGACATTGATTTCTTTTCTAAGAGGCAAAACCTGGATGGATCAATGGAAAAGTACTGGATAAACCTAATATAAAGGTAATAAATCAATATTTGAAAATGAAATTTCTACCGTTTAATTAATCTGTCAAAGTTAAATTATTAGGATCCCCAAAACTCGGGTTATATTGTGTGTTATGACCCAGCAACGGGCCAACTATTATCCAATATACGTGCTCATACTGAACAAGATGTGATCGAAGCTCTAAAAAAAGCTCGCAAAGCCCAAAAAGAATGGGCAAAAACCACATTTAAGGAACGGAAAAAAGTGTTAAAAAGTTTACTGAATTTTATTGTTAAAAATCAAGAAGAAATTTGTTGGGTTAGTTGTCGGGATACTGGAAAATCATGTAAGTTTTGCAACAACAATAAAAAAAAAAATTTACTTTAATTAAAAATTTTGCATCCATAACAGTGGTTGACGCGAAAATGGGGGAAATACTAGTCACATGCGAAAGAATCAAATGGACCATGAAGAAAGGTGAAAAGGCTTTATCTCCACAATACCATGAATCCAGCATGCTGTTATTTTATAAAATTGCAAAAATTGAGTTCGAACCACTTGGTGTCGTTGCTGCTCTAGTTTCATGGAACTATCCGTATGTGTTTAATTAAATTTGTTTATGATCAAATAGAGCGCGCCATAGAGCACTGTCTGAGATTATTTATACATAAATATTTTCAATACGACAACATACTACCAAAGACTGCATAAAAATACACCATAAATTAAAAAATCTTAGACAATCTACGCTAAACATGTTTTAATTCCCTTTTTTTACTATTTCAACGTAGTTTTCACAATATAATTGGACCAATAATATCTGCTTTATTTGCAGGAAATGGAATTATAGTTAAAGCTTCTGAACAAGTAGCATGGTCATTGCAGTACTATAGTAAAATTGTTAAAGTTTGTTTAAAATCATGCGGTCATGATCCAGATATAGTACAGTTTTTATGTGGATTTGCAGATTGCGGTGAAGCTTTAGTCAAAAGTGGTGTTGATGGAATAACTCTTATTGGGTGAGGCTCAGATGTTAATTAATTTGTGTTGAATAATTGATGTATAATGACTCTTCGTTAATTGTTCCAATGTTTTGTTATTATCCTCAGTTCTCCACAAGTAGGTAAACAGGTCATGTCATCGTCTTCTACTACATTAACACCCTGCACATTAGAACTAGGAGGAAAGGATTGTGCTATCCTTCGCCAAGATGTAAATTTAAGCAAAATAATTCCAATTGTATTACGTGGCGTATTTCAGAACGCTGGACAGAATTGCATTGGATTGGAAAGAATTCTTGTTCATGAAAGTATTTATGATAAGTTTGTGAAAATGGTTGAGCTAAGAGTTAAGGAACTTAGAGTGGGATGTGCTTTGAATGATGAAGAGGGTGTTGATGTTGGTGCACTGACTACGAGCGATCAGGTATATTTTGATCAATATTACTGAATACAATTGTATGCATGCTTATATCACGCCTAAAATATTTTATGTATAGATTGACCGGCTCTCCACCCTAATAAAATCTACAGTTTCGCAAGGAGCTAAACTACTCTATGGGGGCTATCCGTTCATTCATCCCCTTTACCCAACCGCTCATTATTATACACCCACGCTTCTCATAGACGTAACTCCCGAAATGCCAATATCTCAAACTGAACATTTTGGACCAATAATGGTAGTAATGAAATTCCGAACAGATGATGAAGCAATTGAAATCGCAAATTCTAGCGGTTATGGATTGGGAAATAGTGTGTTTACCAAAGACCAACGAAGAGGTGAATGGATGGCAAGACGACTAAGAAGTGGAATGGTTAACATAAATGATTTTGGAGCTAGCTATATTTGTAATTTACCATTTGGTGGTGTTGGTATAAGCGGATTTGGGAGGTACTTGTTTTGTATTTATTTGTTTATTTTGTCATGAGAATTATGAAAATTATAAGACTTAAATGATTACTATTATATTTAAATATTGTAGATTTGGGGGAATAGAAGGTCTTCGTCAGCAATGTTTAATGAAATCTATTACTCTAGATCGATTTCCATGGTTATTACAGACTTCTATTCCTAAAATGTTGGATTATCCTATACATTTTCGTGGATCCATGTTTGTTTCTAATTTGGTTAAAGCTGTTTATGAAAACAGATTATTGTACAAGGTTAAAGGTATTATTAAATTGGTAGTTGGAGAGAGCATTGATTATGAAGATGTAGATGATGTAGATGATGCAGATGTCGAAGATTAGAATTGCAAGGATTAGTTTATATCAGCTATTGGTTTGTACTTATCGTTGTTAGTTAGAAGTAAAAAGTTTATTAATTTTTCCAAACTCGATAATCTGTTATGCTGCAATTAATAATCAAAAGTCAAGGTTTTTTTTCACTTTTTTTATTAATGTATAAGTTTCACTTGAAATTTTTTGCGTATCTAACTGAAATTTAGACGATTTTTTAATGAGATTACTTAGTTTTTTTAAGTCCTGCAAATTTTGGTAGCTTTATATTTTTTGTGTTAAAATGATCTTTTTTTTGGATTTCGGATTTAGAGTTGTGAGCGCAATGGCATAATTTGTCGTAATTATATTGAATTACAGCATTTTTTTGCCGTAATTCAGTAGAATTACCGTACGACGATTTGTCACATCCAAATTGCTGAATTTAAATTTTTTAAATTTTCGTTATGTTTTTTAAAACAAAATTGTTGAAGTTTTCACAAAACAGAAAGTATAAAAAATATTAAAACCTAGTTCTTCCTTGTAAACTAATATAGTTTCAAAACTGTGCAAATTTTTTGTTTTTTTTTCATTTGATATTTCTTCAGTTTGCAAATATCTGCTAAAAAAAATAGATTATTAGATGCACTAAGATGAGAGCCTTTGCCAAATGCATCTATAAAAGGTAGGTATATTATAAACATAAAGAAAATTAAAAAAAATGGGTTATAAATAGGTAAATCATATTTTTTCTAGAAAAGGTTTGTTTTTTAAAAATAATTTTGATTTTTATTAGTAATGTTAAATTATTTAATACAATATTTTTAAAGAATTGATATTTATATCTTCTATTTTTGATATTATTAAGCAAAATGTACTTTAAAATAAATATTGTTATTAAGTAAACATTTTTAGTAATCTTAAATAAAGTTGCTTCTTGTAGTTTTCTAGTTTTAATAATAGTAAAATTATTAAAATTAGATTAGTAGTTCTTATTTAAAGTTAACTAATATTTATTAAATTTAAATATAAATAATTCAATAATAGAATAAATGTAAATTATTTCTTATATAAGTATATTAGCTAACAAAACCAAACATATGCTATATATAAAAGCTTTTAATATATAATTAATTTTCGTAAAAATTTTAAAAATATATATATTAGGCTTTTCTAATTATATAATACAATTTGAATCTTTGTTTTATTTTAAAAAAACATACTTGCATATAGAGATGCTTACAGCAAAATTTAGTTTTAAATTAGCTAATCAAATTTTGAAAATTTTATAATAACTAATTAACTAATAAATATCTTTATAAAAACAACTTTTAATTTCTAAATGTAAAATAGATATGCCTAATTCAGTGCAAATATTATGTGATAAATTAATTAGAATTAAACAATTTTAGTACTATCTAATTTGTTTTATTAAAATGAATTTAATAGTACCAAAATCGTTTAATTCTAATTACTAGATCACAAAATATTGGTTATTAAAAATTTAATTAAAAATATGTTCTTAATTTGGTACAGTGTCTAATTTAGCACATTAACATTATACTAACAATATTTCATAAATTAGTAATTAGAATTATAAGATTTTGATACTATTTAATTTATTTTAATAAAACAAATCTAACAGTATTAAAATTACATAGTTTTGATTAATAATTTGTAAAATATTATTATTTAACTAAAATAAGCTATATATAATATATTTTAAAATTGTTATATAGTTAATTTTAGTTAAATAATAATATCTTATAAACTGTTAATCAAAATTATATAATTTTGGTACTATTTGATTTGTCTTAATAAAATAAATCAAATGGTATCAAAATTATATAATTCTAATTAGCAGTTTACAAAATATTATTAATGCATCAAATTAGATATATCTATCTTATTAATAAAAATATATATATAATTTAATTTAATTTTTTTAATATTATATAAATAATAATTATATACTAATTTTGAATATAATTTTTTTGGGTGTGGGTTCTATAGCTTAATGGTTAAGCTTCTATATCCTTATAGTCAAAGTCAACAGTTCAAGTCTGGCTGAAGGCAAAATCAAAAGATTTTAGTTTCTATAACTTATAAGAAGCCTGTAATTGAACATGAAGTTCTGTAATCAAGTCCAAATGCAGTATATGATAAAAAAAAAATCCTAGATAGAAACTGATTCTGCAAAGTGTGGGCACTATATGTAATGACAACATTACAAAAAGTTTTATTATGCAAAGGATTGTATATATAAGTCCAATATCTCTATATCCAACTTGTAAAATACTTAATTGGAAGAATGATACTAAGGTAACATGAACTAAAGTAGTAAAAGAAGCAATGTATATATAGAAGGTTTGTAACAAAGAATTAGTCTTATCAAGATTAGAAGCATCTCTGATACTGTAGAACAACTAAGAATAGAAACTAAGTATTTGCATAGAGAAGTTATAATCTGTTTTGTATATCTAAAGATTTCAAACTGAAGTTTTGATCACACCTATATAGAAGCTTATAGTAAAACAAATAAAATATACCAACATAAATACTATACTAATTATGGTTGAGATATCTAAATTTGAAGTAAAAACCTATTTGAGTACAGTATGAATATCTTAGTCTAAATATAGATGTAAGCTAAGATGTTCTTAAAAAGACAAAAAAATTATTCATAGTTGAAAACAGAACAAAGAAAACCTGCAGTATGATGTGACAGTAGTGGAAACATTGGTCAATGGCTAAAAGAGAATGTATATACATCCTTGAAATAGTATTCCATCTATACTATAAAAGAAAGTACTTAAGAGGCAGATTAGATGCACAATCTGTTAGAAATAATACTAAAACTAAGAAGAGTTGCAAACCAGTAGTAGCAGCAGAAATCTGACTTAAGATATATATTACTAGTATCTAAATTGAGAAATTTGCAATGGCAATAGGAACCTAGCTTGAGATACATGCTAAAGAGGCACCTTTTAGGCAAACCAAAAATGGTAATTCAAAAAGAACAAATGACCTGGTAGATTAATTTAAGAGTTGTTAAAAATAAGTTATAAAACATGAGGTGAATATGTAGATTATCTAATATAATTAGTAGTAAAACAAAAATTCAGGTTAGATGTAAGTAGGACATAATACAAAACTCTGATAAATTTAGGTTACAAATAAATATGTCTGAGTTCTATGTCTAAATAGATATATAGTAATAGATGATATATAATAAATTTGTACTAGCTATAACAAATATACTAATAAAAACTAGAGGACATGATCTTATCTTAATACTAAAAAAAGAATATAATTTTTTTTAAAATTAAATAATTATTTTAAAACTATTTTTTATTGTAAATTTTTTTATATATTTTTAATTTTTTCTAAAAACAATATTTTTATTTATAGAATATAAATACTTTTAAAAGTTTTTTTATATAGAAATTATAACTAGTCATATATGCATTTTTGATGTTTAATTTAAGTAGTCTATTTATACATTACTATATAAATAAGTTTTATACTATATATTATATTTGTAAATTAACTATAGGTCTTGCTTATTTAAACTTTTTATATATGTAATTTATCTTGTTTTATGAAAACAGCTTTAAGGTTATATTTATTCAAAGTATTTGATACATATTATTATTAGAAATATTTTATTCTCAATAAAAAACTTACTAAAATTTTTTTATATTATACTCATAGCTAACCTAATTTTATATAACATGCTATAACCAAACTAATATTTACAGTTATAAATATTATTTGTTAAATTGCTCATTATACTATTTTTATTTTTGTAAAGTTTATTAAAATTCTGATAATTATTTTTTTAATATTTTCTTTATTATCTTTTACTAAACTTTTTTATTTAAAATTAACAAAACTCTTTAAACTACTAATTTAGATAGCTTAATATAATATACTTTTGTATTCTTTTTTTATAGCAAATTTTGGCAACCTGTTTGGTTATATATTTTTTTATATATATTTATTATTGTTTATTTGCTTATATTTTTATAATATGTTTATAAATTTTTATTAGTTTAACAGTATTATTAAAAGTTTATACAATTTTTTTAATCAAAAATTTCTAAATAGATTTTGACTTATTAGTTTTTTAGTTTACTATATCTAGTAATCTTATTATAAGTTTGTATCAAAGTTTTTTTTTTTTTTTTTTTTTTTTTTTTAATAAGAGGTCTATCTTCTATCTCTTTTATTTATAATCAATTTTATATATATAAGATGAATACATATGAAAAAACTATATTATGGGAGATAGGGGTAAGAGCTACTTTACTCTCAACCTATTCTTTGCTAGAATAGTTGTTAAACCTCTAGTCTTCGAGAAGATGCATTAAAGAAGTTAGTCCATTGTTTGTGTATTTTAATAGTTTCCTTTCTA